ACTTTATGAACATTAGTTGGATTTCACAGTATTTTGAAGAGCATTTGAAGGCGTGAACATTTGATTAGAGAGGCAGGACAGAAAATTACTGAACCTCAATTTATTACGAACCTGAACAGGCATAATCTCACCACCTAAAGGAAAGAAAATTGTCATTAACTTACTGTTTTTTTATTTTCAAAGCTCTATACCGTTGGATATGACGCTTCATAGCCAACGAAGGTGAGGGACCAATACAGCTAGCCCTTGCTCTTTGATATGAAAAATGAAATTGTAAGTAGAGAAGACAAAATATGTCAGATGGAGGGAAATAAAGACTAAAGTTATGAGGCTGCAAATGGCAACTAACGTGTTAGCATTAAACAAAAGCAAAAGGCAAACAGGGAGAAAACCTAGCTAGCACACACAGAATTAAGTAGTTAGTTCCAGCTTTTTTTGATAAGTGAAATGGAAAAGGGTCTCCCAGTCTAGTGAGGGTCCTGTGTTTAATATCAACCAAAGGAGTTTATATGTACCAAGCAAATCTCCAGATGGAAGGTGTACCTTTTCTGCCAAGACAATTCTCTAGGGCAATATTGGATGAGGTCTTCTCAAATAAATAGATGTGAAATACTACAAGGAAAAAAAAAATTAAACTCCCCATACATTCTCTTTGTAAATTAACTAGCTGTTTTAACTCCCCTTCTCTTTTACTTTTTCTGGCACAGGAACCCCAAATACAACACAACACATCCATCCATCTCACAAAGGGGAAAAAAAAAGTACATTTCATATCAGATGCTTTGCGTCAAGCCTGCTAAGGCTCATAAATCAGCTGTCTTATTGCCCTGGTGTCATTTCAACCAACGTCTGACCCTTTTGTTAACTCATGATTTATAACTGGAAGTTACTCTTTTTTTTAAAGCCAGATTTATAAACTTTACTGTGCTTGGTTTGATATAATATCCATTTTGTACACCAAGCTATAAGACAGTAAATTTATTGTCTATGAACTGTTACCTTGAAAAATTACATCAATGCAAAGTGGTTTCCATTTAGAATCAATGGGCAATAAATTAATTGGATTTTTTTTTTTTTTTTGAAGGGGGGGCAAGAACATGATGATATTTATGAGGTCATGAGTGGCTATATAACGGGTGAAACTGGGAGCAGAGGCAACAGTCAGACAGGAGTTCCGAGTTACAGTGGTAGAGAAAGACGAAATACATTCAACACAGCAATGATGCATAAGCTGGTATTCTGCTGTCTCATTATTATCAGCTTCTCCTGTCCTCTCTCGTCTCTCCCCATCATCAACGCCAGCGAGATGTCTTATCAACTCTCAGGTAAGAGTCTTTTGATTTTAATGGTGATAAAGCAGGGGTTGGAGCAGTAAAATGAGAAGAGAAGCAAGTATGCTTTCTGAGGGGCCTTTATCTATGCTGATCACTTGTATTTTCTTCAGAACACCGGCAGCGCAAGTGACATCATCAGTAGGTGCTAGTCTTGTAAAATGGGAAGGTTGGGTGCCCTAGGTATTTCTTCTTGCTGCTTCGAGATCCAGGAGGCAAAGGTACCTGAGCCTTCCAGCATGGAATGGGAGCTGGCATATACAGCGTCTGCCTTTGAAGCAGCGTTAGTAGGCATTGGGTTATTTAGAGAAACTTGGCTGTACGGTCTCTCTTGCTACACTTCAAAATGAGCTATGTTTAACTGAAGTTGTATTTACAAAGGGGGGAACCCACTGCAATCAGATCAAGAACAGAGAAGTCTATCTTCCGCTACAAAAATAGCAATGTGTTGAGCATGCTATTTCTTTGCACTAATACAGGTTCCATTCAGTCCAGTAAAAGAATAAATCTTTGCTTGAAAAAGCCATCAAAGTTTGAAATTATACTATAAGTCAAGACTGAAATGGCTCAGTAAAAATGCACAATAGAGTCTGGAAAGTTACTGTCATCAGATCCGACCTGTGCTGGAAGAGTTTCTGAATTGATTTCTGAAAGAACAGGCAAATAAAACCCAAAGTTATTGCATTAAAGCTGACTATTAAAAAGTGGCTGTTCTTACCTGCTTTGCAGGTACAACAGCTGTTGTGCTGGTTTATAGGTACCAGTAGTCCCTAGTTTGCTTTGAAAATCTTGGACTCAGTAAGCCAGCGTCTTCTCAAGCCTTCCACTATTTAACTGGCATTTACAGGCAACTGTGACTCAGTATGGATAACATCTATCACATCATAGGGTGAACAAGCTGGCTCTAACAATTACTGCATTTGTTTGAAGATATCCATTAGGCTTATTAAATCTTCTGTGCTAATATAAAGAGTCTCTAGGCTGGGTAAGATAGAAGCAGAACTCCGTATTAAAGAGGGTTGTTTTGTGGTTTGTTTGGTTTTTTTTGGTTTTGGTTTTTTGTTTTTTTTTTTTTAAATCTCAAAGCAAATCTACCTGCTAACACTGCTCTGAATTAAAAAAATAACACAAAGCTAGAGATACGAATTGTCTCCACATAGCAGAAGGGAAGTTACAGTATTCTTATTCACAGTCTTACACTCAAATCCCCACTGCCCTTTGCAATTGTCCTTTTGTACAGCAGAAAAACTAACAACGTGGTTGTCCAAGGTCTTCAAGTTTTTGATCTTGGTACAAGCTTTGTAATGTTGGGGGATTATTTTCAGCAGCTTATTTTCTTATATATTCCCCATTGAGGAGCTATACAGTCTCACCCATCCCCGCAGGTAAGAGCAACTAGAACTCCATAGTGTCATCTAAAAATGCAACTACAAAATTATATTCATCTACACAACTAGAGTTTGATAAAGGCACCCTTTCATTACCCACAGTTTTAAATGTCTGCTGTATATTAGCAAAGATTAAATTTACTGCTCTGATTATAAAAGCCTTATTTACCTCAAGTATAACACCACTAAGGTCTCCTGCCTTAGGGCACAGGCTAGTTAGAGAATTCTAAATTCTAGACTCTCTATGCACATACAAATTAATTTAATCAGGTATCCGCAATCTGTTGTTTCAGAAAAAGTAGTAATATCTGTACTGCTATGCACATTAAACGAAAGAGATGTTTGAAATGCCCTGAGAAGCATAGTTGCCAAAATATGTTTTAAGATTTCCTACATTTATTCCTGCCCTTCCCCTCATTTTATTGCATTTAATAGTTGGGAAACTGAGCAGGTTAATAGGCCTTGAATAGGAAGTTTTATCTTTATTCATAGAGAAGCTCCAGCATAGGAACCAGCTGATAAAGAAATGGACCAAAAAAACCCCCCCCCACAAACCATTATATCCAAGTCTGGCTTGTCTACAGCTGGGTACAGGAAGGATTAGGTTGTGAGTTCCCCAAGCGACAGGAGGGGCTGCTGTTGGTCAAAAAACTTTCTTAAAGAAAGATCTGCCGGAGAAATGAGAATCAGAGATTAACATCAGGAGGGTATCTTTTCTCAAAGCTTTAGAAGGAAAAAAAAACCAAAACGACAACTATCCCTTATTATAGTCATTAAATGAGGATGGATGATCAGTGATTTCATGATAATCATCAACAGAGGGTGGGCCAACAGACCTGATCAGAAATCATCCAAGCTAGATGGAAACAGGGATTCAAAGCAAAAGACTCTTACCGTATGCCTGTTTCTGTCATCCTCATTTGCAGCTGATGAAGATTCGAGATCAAATCTGGAGCGGCTGGGCAGCCTAGGAAGCCCTTCCCTGCTTCAGTTTCTGCCAGAGCTCTTGGGCACACTGACTGAAGATAACAAAGCAGGTGAGGATTTACCACAGCAATTTATGGAAAACTGCCCATGGTTTGCATGTCCAGCTTCCCCAGATATTGTACCCCCGCTCCTTGGTATTTACTGAAATACGACATTATGTGGAGGCAACAGACAGCTGTCATTTAGTTAACTGAGACCTTAGGGAAACCTGCTGAGCAGCTGTGCTTGCAGCTCAATACTAGCTGGAAAAGTCTCCAGGTTAGTTTGGCAAAATCTCCATACGGCAAAACTGGGGCAAGGCAAAGACTGGCCTAGAAGGAGCTAGCAGACAAAACAGAGTAGCAGTGTCTCTTAAAAAACATCAGTGCTTGCAGAAAGTGCAGAATCAATAGCACTAGATGGTTTGTGGGGCAGCAGATGCTGCTGAAGAGGACACAGTAGAGCTTGCATCTGCAGAGGCCCAGATCCTGCTGGTGCTGTGTGCCACAAGAACTGGCCATGCTGCAGCAAGAGGGTTTTCTGTCTGGTCCTCTGAACATTCCAGTTTGGGACTTCTGCCGGCTACAGCATTATGGTACAGTAGAATGACTTGGGTAGGTTCACCATATCTAAATCTTAAAACGTTTCATTACGTCTTCCCTCTACCAGGTCTTAGCCCCAGCAGCTACAACCCAAGGGAAAACACCAAAGAGGTAAGTGAATGACCAGCTGTCACTGAAACAAGAAACACTGAAACAAGACTGCACATTTTAAACTACAGGGAATTGTTACTGAGACATCATTTAAGATCCACAGACTTCATAAACAGTATAGACTAAAGGATGGCACAGTGTTCCTGAAGCTGGAATCACTTAGCAGTTAGATAAGAAGGGCAGAGGGGGGAGGAAAAAAGAAAAAGAGAGCAAATAATCCAAAGCATTTCCTTCTAACCCCCCCAGAAAAACAGCTTTCTAAACAAAGGCCAATTTCCAGCTTGGCCAGGCCAGGTCAGTACATTAACCAGTATTAGCTGCATGTCATTTCCCCACCCCCCCACCAACATAGGCTACACAGGATTATCAGATTTGTTATGAACCATTAGGTAAATGGAGAACATCATTCCTGTTCATTTGTCTGCTGAATTAAATCTAAAGGCAGAAGACAGGGACTAGTTTTAGTGCATCATCTAAATCAGAGGGTGTGCTGGGCAGCTGCCTCTCCTTCCCATAGTCACAATACAGGACTGGGTAATCAACTGGGGCAGTGAAGAGGGTACTTTCCTGCTGCGAACATTTACCATCCAACAGTAACCTCTCTAATGCTCTTTGACTTCAGACTTTCTACGGAAACCATCCTCGAATTGCTTTGCTGGGCCGCTTCTTGACCAAGGACAGGAAACAGTACAAGAAACGTGGGAATCTTTCCGAGTGCTTCTGGAAATACTGTGTGTAAACAGGAGAAGAAACTCTCCCTGACTTTGGTTGCATAATTTATACAGATGTCTGAAAACATGTATATAGATTTGCTTGATTTAAAATGAGAATGAAGAAACATGAAGACAGCTCATAACTTTAGACTCTACGCTACTTGGAAATTAATAAATTCTTGATGTTTTGCAATTATGCTGTGAGCAGTGTAGTATTTTCTTAGAGTTCAGCACAACAGGAATAAAGTAATGGGACAAAGAGATAAACATGCAACACGAAAAGAACTCAGGCAGGTGAAGCAAGATTCCCATGAGGTCCCGTGAAACCTCCCAGAAGAGTGACGCCTCAACTAGTCTAAGTCCAGAGGCAAGAGGACTTTCTCCTTTGACACTTGACGTAGATTGGAGTGCTAGGAAGAAAGGGTCATTGCTGCATTCCCTGAGGATGCTAAGCTGGTGAGGGATGGCAGCCTAACAGTGCCCAGTTCCCTCCTGCCATCCCCAAGGCACCACAAAACCAACAAGAACATGTCAGGATCGAGCACCTGCTCCCACTACCACTGGTGAGAGAGAACTGTTTCTCTTGGTCACTTGTAAAGAAAGACCCACAAAACTATTTCTTTGCAGCACCTTGCCTAGTCCTCAGCTGCCCCTGACAACACTGTTACTTGTGCATAGCACAGGCTTTAAGAATTGTGTCTGATTATCATCAAGCACAGCATGGAAGGTAACATCATGGTTGTCAATGTCAAGGCTTTACATCCAGATTGCAGAGAGTCAGTGGAGGCAGACAGGGATGACATGACTTCAGAGATTCTAGGGCTGTGACCTGCACTTAGGTGGCTGCACACACAGATGTGGGAAGGTGACGTATGGTCATAGATCCCCAGTGTTACTAGGGCAAGCCACCTCCCACTTGGGCACTCAAGGGCAGTGACATTTGTCCCCCTGAGCCACCACACGGTTTTTATAATGTTGTATATCTTGGCATCTGAAGTAAATGATGGAGAAGACAAAAGAGCAGCTGCGAAAGGGTTCTAGTCTGAGTACCAGCATACCTTCTCAATCCCAGGTACTCCCTGATAGTATCTGCAATGAACAGAGCTAAAGAGCCAGGAATTGTCTCTGGGTCATGGCAGTCTTGATGATACCTGCAAACATTCCAAGCTGTGAAGCCCTACCTTGTTCAATACATACTTTGCATAAATCTTGCGCTAATCAAGGCTCACAGAAAGCTTGAAGTAAACTTCACCTAACAGTGATACACATGCTACATTGATCTCAATAATATACAACATAAATCTCCGACTGTGCTGTTTAAACAAGGCCTACAGACTTGATACAGCTTGTTCACTTCACATAAATTGTAAGACAGATGAAGTCAGCTACAACAAAGAAAAATGTCCTTACAAATGCAGAGCAGCTGGATGCACTGTGCAGCTATTTGAAATCTTCTGGACATTCATCCTTCTCTTACACAAAGGAGCAAATCAGTGCCTGTCTGGAAATTACTTCTTTCCTGCCACCTCATCAGTCAATAAAAACCTGTAAGAAAAGACTTCAAATTTATCTAAACGAACAACCATGTAAGATAGATTTATTTCATAGACAGGGAAAGGTGTAGAGCCTACAAAGCCGGGGGCGGGGAGGGGGGGTGGGGGGCAGCAGAAATTAATCTATTCAATCCCGCTTCAAAAGTTGCAAACATAAGGGACAATAAATAAAACCACAATGAATCATAATCAACAAAACAAGTATTAAAAAGTTCACTAGCCATCTACATAAGAGAATAAAGGAATTAAGAGAGCTGTCAGGTGATGAGGATGGAGTCAAGACGAGGTAATTAAGCTATAAACCCTCAAACTGTTTCGGCTTTCAATATTGCAAAAATACTTGGTAGCAGTTATGGCATCTAAAGCAGCAATATTCAAACGATTTACTGTGTTCAAGCTAGGCCAGAGCAAAGCAGTGGGAGCTGGGGGGGAATTCAGCTAATTCTAATCTAGCAGCATTTCAGCAGACTGAAACCTCCAGTCATTCACAGTCCTTGCCACGGCCAGGAAGGAGGTCAGACTGTATCTTTGGACATGATCGGTAGTTCTCAAAAAGACGACCGTTCGAGACCCTGTTGCACACCCAAGTGCCTCCTTCCTGAAGGAAACCTTCGTGGCAGATGCCAGACCAACTCAGTTCCAGGGCCCAAGAGCAGAGAGCCCAGCCAGTCTGCAATGCAGAAGGGCAAACTCCACTTCTCCTCCATCCCGCTCCAACCTGTAGCTCCTGCCAGCTTTCAGCTCCGAGCTTTTCCTCCCTCCCGCAGACCAGAGACAAGAAGGCTGGAGCTGTCACAGAAAACTAGAGAGATTGTAGAAAGAGCACTGGAGGCCAAGCTGATCGTCTTTCCATCGGCCAGGGCAGAGCTCTCGGAGCAGGGAGAAAGATGCAACTGTAGCTGGGGAAATGAGCTGCAAGACCCCGTCTACGCCAGCCTGAGCCTGCCTGTAAGGGTTTCAGGCAGCAAATGAGCATCAAACGGGAGCCAAGCAGAGAGACACTTCTTTGAGCTGCACAGGGGCAGTATGTAATATATATCCTGAAAGTTAATGCAACTGTGGAGCAAGCCTACTACGAAAAGCAACAGCCCCGTTACTTTTGAGATTGGGGTGAGTAGGCACCGCAAGTCCAATACTTATCTCTCATCATCTGCCAAAACCACAGAAGTCCATTGTTCATCTCACCTTCGACATCCACACAGAGGTGAAAGCTACAGGTTTTTAACTGCGAGCAAGAGCTACAGCTGACAGGAGGATGACTGGTATTGACAAACCAGTACTGTAACTGGACTGGCATCGCCTAGATCTCTGAATAAAAACATAGCACCACCTTCAACTTTTAATTTCGCAAGCCCATTCACTTCTCATCATTGTTGGACCAAAAATACCTAGATAATTTGGCTCACATTTGTAATTATGTTTAGAATGATCAAATGACTCTTTTAAAAATTAATAAACCATCAGCAAAATATATCAATTTTTACATTTGAGATGCCTGCATTTCAGGGAACTGCACTACTTACCTTGCCAGAAGCACCTTCATTTACACACTTAGTCTAAGAGTACTTCTTTCTTTTCCAGTTTTAATATGATGCTGCATCTTTTGTTCTGTACCTTGTAGTCCCTGCAGTGACTCTGCCTTTCTCCTGCAAGCTTCTTTAAGCACTGCCAATCACACTTCTCTCTAAAGTCCCTTAAAGGAGAAAAGATGAGCAAAGTGTTTCTCTGCAATTAGTTAAGAACTTTACTGTTCTGAGACATGCCTGCGAATTAAACTTATGAATTGTTTCTTTGTACTTCCTCTAGAACACAAATTTTAGCACAGCGGGGCCAAAGTGCTCCCAGGGTGTTTATTACTGGCCTTTTCTAACAAACAAAATCAGCACAGACAGAAGCTTTAAATCCTGCATGCCAAACCCCAACAGCTTACACATCCAAATATAACCCTCTACATTCAAAAGGCACTTGCCCTTCTTTGTGGGATGTAATTAGAAAGGAAACAACATGTCCTGAAGCAGGCAAGGTAGAGTGAGATTAAAACAACCCACAAACCCCCATACAAAACAGGATGAATGGCCACTACATGACCATTTTCACTGTACCCACAACCTCAACATCTACGCACAATCAGAAAAATCTAATGAATATTTTCTTAAAAGTCTATTTTCTACAAATTACCGACAACAAAAGTAAACACACACTTGAAACAGTTCTTTGCAGCATATTTTCCAGTTTTATTTATAAAAACAGAAGCTCCTTTAAAGTGTACAGTTAAAATCACAACTGTAAATTCAACCACAGCTGAGTATTATTTCAATAAAATATTCCTATCAACTGATGTAAAAACTCATCCAATTGTGATTTAAAACTCAATTCAGCTGAAAGATAAACTTACCAATACATTACTCATTCAGTGAATATTTATCACACACTGTAAAAATACACTAGGGTCCCTCCTGTTCATAGCAATGCCATGAAAATATTTGCACATCAGCTTATCTCTTAAAAACATAAGTTCTGTATTTATGAAAACAATAAAAAAAAATTGCCAGTAAAAATCCACCAAGGGGGTAGTAATGGCATCATTACTGTACGTGCGTGCTTTCCCTTTGATCACCAAAAAAGTGACCTTCCAAGCAGCTCTAAACCATCTGCAACATTTTAATTATGCCACACAAAACAAGGTCACAAACAGCCTGTGCAAATCTGGCTGCAATATTTACTCCATTGGTCTTTCAGATCAGAACTGGATCTCACTTCGACCACTTCAGCAAACTACAAAGACTGAAAGATTAATGTAAGCTGAAGTAAAAACTACCAGTTCCTGAAAACTAATGGAAATGAGGTCCTTCCCAAAAGGCTTGATAAGGCATTTGATTGCAAGATATTGTGGTTCTAGTGGGGTAAAGAGTAGCTTGGGAAACTGTTTTTTATCCTAAACCTGGTTTTGCAGACAGGACTGCGTGTTTGGGCAAATAAGTTAGTTTCATTGTCACACAGGGCACTGATTCACCTCTTCATTCCTCTTACATTCCTCTCCCATACCATAATTTTCTTCTGTAACCCAGGACTAGTGCAGCCCCAGACAAGGAATCTTGCACCTAAGATTTAGCCAGGATTACAAACTTTGAATTCAAATTCCTAGCCATATGCATCTTCATTATATACAGTCAGAGAGTATGGTGTTCACAGCACTACAACTGTCAAGGATTTCTGTTGCTATATGATCCTACTGGGTACGGATTCATAGTAGTAGGTGGTAGAAGAACGGCTAACATCTCCAAACAAGAAACACATTTAATATGATCAAGTTTCTACATACAGGTCAGAATCTTGACCACTTGTAGCAAAGACAGCACAGGATACAGTGAGTGAAGATCCCCAAATTATACTCCTGGATTTGGTATGAACTGGGGGTATGCATCTGTGCAAGTCCTTTGTGTCTCTGCCTCTTTTTATAGAACTGGGATAATGACAGTCATCTTTTTGACATGTTTCCAGACCTATGGATGAAAAGCATTATTCGAGTGTTAGGTACATATTACCATTCTCCTAAACTAAGTCCTATTGTTTTATAAAATAGATGACACGTACACCTGCTAAGACATCGCAAACCATCTCATTTTCATACTCAGGAAAT